TACCTTTTATTTCAATTATAGCACAGGTGTCGTTATACCTATTATTACATTATATTGTCATCATTCCTTTGTTACCCTGAAAAGGCATTCATCTGCAATAACTTGTGATTTGTAACTAGTTGCTTCAGAATTCTGGAGAATTGTGCTGGAAGACCACTTTGACCTCTTTTCTGGTGATAAAAAACATACAGTCTTCACTAGATTTGTTAAAATGGCTAGATTCATTGTTTATTGTTTAATAATCCAAAGCATATCCAGCAATCAAGTAGGAGTGTTTTAATAAATCACAAATCAGGGGTTGGTTTTTTTCTTGCTAAATTTTGTGTATCTTTTAGCTGATTCAGTCTATGTGTATTGATCATTTTTACTCTTTGGATTATTGTAGTTTATTACTAAGCTAAACCACAGGTTTAAGTTGTAATACAGATAAAAGAAACGTGAGCAGTGATAGAGAAACAGTATGTAAAACTCTTTAATGACTAGGAAATCTTGCTAATCATTGATCAGTAATGGAAGAATACATTTTTTTAATGAATTACTAACATGTATTGCCCTTATTCAGCAGATAGTTCTTTGGGATTCCATATGTGGGATATTGCTTTCCTTTACTTTAATCATAAACTTGTTGAGATAAAGCATGACACAATTGTTTTTGTATCTGCAATTTATTAGTGTGGGTGGGGTCAAGGTCCATATTAACATCTTCTGCGTGATCCTCTAAAGCAGGTGCATGACCCTCTAAAGCAGGGGTCTCAAACTCAATTTACTTGGGGGCCACTGGAGGCAGAGTCTGGGTGCAGCTGGGCCGCATCAGATTTTCCACCAAGTGGAGCAAGAGCCCGAGGAAGCCGCCCAGGAGTTTCCTTAACCCAGCTGGGGCTCCGAGGAGGAGGAGGAGGATGAAGCACTGCTGGGGGCTGAGGCGGCCGCTGGCCGAGCTGGTGCTCGGGGTGCCGAGAGAGAAAGAGAGGCAGAGAACCGCTTCCCTGGAAGAGGTGGCGGCGGTGGCTGCTGTTAGCGGTGCTGTTGGTGGCGGTCTTTGAGGACAGGCTGGGAGTGAGCTCCACTCTCAGGCATCGCTCGGCAGCGGCTCAGGTGCTCAGGGAAAGGGCTGGCAGCGTGCCTCGCTTGCCAGCTCTCCCCCAATACAGCATCTCTTGCACCCTCCATCCGGAACTGCAGCCTGCAGTTGTATTAATTAATACTATACTATACTATACTATACTATACTATACTATACTATACTATACTATACTATACTATACTATACTATACTATACTATACTATACTATACTATAATACTGTATAATATAATA